GCTAAACCCCGCATTTGAGTCATTTCCAAGCCCCTCTCCCCCTCCCCGGGTTGCCCCAGGCCGGCTGAGCGGTGCCCGCGGAGCCGGGCGGGCTGTGACCCCCCCGGGGCTGCCAGGGTTGGAAGGGAGATAACCCGGTAGCCCCCGCTTGTCCCCTCCGACGTGGTTAACGCTGGAAAAACCACCGTATGGACTTTTTATTACCCCACCTGGGAGCCTCAACAGGTGACTTCTCCCGGGCGTGTTGAAGGGAGGGGGGAATTGATGCGAGCGCAGGATATTTTTTTTTTTTTCCCCATCATCCGTTTCCTCTGTAGAGATAACGGAGCGCCTTTCTAGGAGAGGTTTGCGTAGCTGTTTGTCATATCCCCGGGGGCTCACGCTTGGTGGCTGCTGAGAAATCCATCTTTCCACATTTGCTGTGGGAGGAGTGGAAACGCTGGCCGGGGAAGCGCAGCAGCGGGCTGGGGACAAAAAGGCTCAAGCAATCCGCATGTGAGAAAATATCTCCCATGACGCCCGAAGTCCTGCAGTAAAACTGTTAATTGCCAATATTTTTAACGCTGATAAGGATTCAGGAAGTTTTCCGTGGAGACTTCAGAGCGCTGGGGTTCCCCCCTCAGTTGACGCCGAGCGGGTGTGGAGGTGGCCAAGCCACCGAGTGATGACGGACATCTTCAGCAGATGGTATCAGAAGTTTCCGTTTTGATAGAGGAGGTAAAACTCAGCGGTTACAAAACGCACCTGAGCTAGAAGGGGGTGAAATAAAGCTGGAAGTCTGAGGCCGCCGCCTGACTGCGGGTGAACTTTGGGTAGAAAACGAGCCAAGGCAGCGTAGCTCAGCGCAGCCCTGTTCCCTCAGCCCAGAGCCGTGCGCTCGCTCCTTTACATTTAAGGGAAACACAAAGAAAAGATCTGCCTGTTCTCTGGGAAACAAGCACGCGATGGGCTTCGTCCTTCCATCAGAATAAATGTTACTGAGCCATCTATCAGCTGAAACATTGGGGAGAAATTCAACCAAAACTCTTTACCCCTTAGTGCCGGGGAAGTGTGAGATAAAGCAGGATTTAAAGATAATACAATAAGAGGGAAGACTCCTAACGTAGATGTTTCGGTCATTAAAAAGCACGTCCAGCTTCCTCATTTGCATCACTTCATGGTATTGCAGATAACACAATCGTTCCCGTAATCTGGCTTGCAAGGAGTGCTCTGCGTGTTTGAACACTGAGAGCTAGATTCATTAGGCATTCTTTATTAATTATAGCGAACACTTGAAGTAGAATACATTTTGATTAACCTTTGCCAGAAGCCACAGCTTTTTCCAGCGCCGTAAATCCGAGGCACCGGAAAACGCCTGGTTCTGCGATAAAATTGCAGAATTTTCAAGCTCAGCCCAAGAGCACGCGTGGCCTGGTGCCTCTTGCCTGGGGACCCCTCACAAGGTGAGAGCCCCTTCCCAAATAAAGTGTTTGTGACTCTTCAGCCCCTACAGAGGGGCCTCGCTTCAGGCAGGGAACAGCTGGGAAAAGGGTTTTTCCTCCTCGGTGATGCAGAGATGCTCAAACATGTCTGGTCCATTAGCTTGGCCTCCCTCCCTCTCTGTGCTGTGGGGACTCTGGGACCGGAGGAGAGGAGAGCTGGGAGGTGTATAACCCGTGGGTGAGCAGGAGGATGACAGCACGGGGAGGAAGCGCCTCTCAGACACCACCCGGGGCTCTGGCACCCATCTCCGCCCCGCCTTCACAGCTCGGGCCCTCTGGTGCTGGGAGCGGCGTTTGGGCAGGTGTCTCCTGCCCGGCCCCCGGGCGCTACAGACACATCCTCGCTTTATACAGCCGGGTCTTGTGGCCCGGAGCGCACCTCTGTCCCTTCCAGACATGCCTGTAAAGCCACGACCTGCATCTTCGAGGGGCCGGAACCCCACGGTGAACTTGGCTTTGTCAGATCACTGCACGCATCGTTTCAGGGACATTGGTGGAAAAGCTGCTAGGAGAGGTTGTGGTGTCAACCAGGGCAGTCCCGTCAGACCCTAGAACGGGCTGGAAACCAGATCAGCCTTGCTGCAGTGCTGAGGTGTTGGGAAACGGGTGGGTTTGAGATAAAACCAGCGTGGCTACCCAGTGCAAACCACCGCACAGTTGGTTTGAGGACACTATGAAGAGCTGACTTGCTTCTTTGTACTTGTCCCTTGTTTATTCCTCTTAAATGGCGGAGCACGTTCGATTCCACCACCAACACTTGAGAGGCCTTTCAGTGATGTGCATTCCTGTTTCTTCATAATGTTTCCATCCGTGAAGTTCCCAGAGGAGCAGAAGACAACGAGAGGGACCTGGTAGACCTGACGCGGGCTCTCACAGGGGAGATTCCCAGTTTGGGAGGAAACCCTGCCCCTTGCGACACCAGTGGCTGCTGGTGGGGGTAGGACCTGGCAGCAGGACCTTTCCCAGCAGGGTTCACGCTGGGACCTCTCACTGCAGCCTCTCGACGGGTGTTTCGGGGAGAACACCACCCCAAAAGGCCCTACGCTCCCAAGCAGAGCAAGTCCCGAACGCAGCATTATTTGCAATTCTTCTCAAATCTCATTTTTCTTAAGCCAAGGTTGAAGTAGTCTCACCTTAGGCTGTCTGCATACCTAATTACTGTCTAGAAAGGAACAGCATAGTAGTTCTTGCTTTCACCCTTTCAGCTCAAAACGCGTGCTAATCCTCCAGGAGGGAAACCAAGAGGCATCTTAGGCACTTCCCAAGCGCTCACTGAAGTGGTTTGTTCGATATTTTAAATGGGAAACACTTAGGGAAAAAAAAAACCAAACCACTCTAGCGACTGCAATTGCTTTTAGATAACCCTGTGAATGTACTCAGGCTAAATTTGTCTAGATGCCTGTACAATTTTAATTGTATGCTTTCCACATCTTTTTGGTAATAATAATCAAACAGTGTCTGAAGTACACAGAAAAGGTGCGGTTCAGACATACGCAGGTGCGGGGCTTTATTCCAATTTCATATTCAGGCAAAACTCACATCGATTTTTAAAGCAGTTTAGCTTTAACAGGGAAAATAAGAACCTGCTGTTCATTTGCAGTTAAAAAAACCAAAACTTCACCGTAAGTGACAGGCACAACGCACGTTACGGCTTCGTGATTTGCTTCATGATTTATAGATTTTTCATATTTATCACTGAAAGTGGCCATGGGACGATCCTGGATCGGGGAGCACACCCAGCACAGGGTGCTCACCTCGGAACGCAGCTGGCAGCCCTTAATGGAAACGTGTTCCCTAAAAAATCTTCGTGTTTGTATTCAGCCAGGCGACCCATTTTAACAGGCAGCCCTAGCTGCCTTTGAGCCCGTGTTAATTATCATTAAAGAATGAGTCATTAAAAGTGCTCCTCCTCTCTCACAGCCCTGTTTGTGTGCATGAATGGATTATGCTGTTGCCATTGATTTCAGCAAACCGTGACTGGGGCTGTCTAACTGGTGGAGCTGAAGGAGCCCTGAGGGACATCAAGTCTTTCAATTCTTTTATATTATAAAACAGCAGTGTCCTCTCCATAATTAAGGTTTAAATTTGCTGTCCAAAAATCTAATTTTCTGTTAGCTCACCATTAGGAAGTGATAGCTGTTGTCCATCGCACTTGCTGGCGTGGCTGGCAGCCAGTTTTTCTCCCAGACAATTCAGCCAGTTGTGCTGCTCCCAGTCTCTGCTGCACCGTTACTGGCACGGCGACACAGGCTTCTCCGTCAAAGGAGAGAAAAACGGAGAGAGAAGAGTCAGAAACCCGCGGGAAGTGTTCAAAATATCGGGGGAAAGCACCATGAACGGCACCGAGGGGCAACAAACTGCAACTTAAACCAAAGGGAAACTTCCTTTTTATTTGAAAAGTGGTCCATTTGCAAATGTCTGCCAAAGTCTGAGAAATTATCAGGGTCTGAAAAAAAAGGGGTAGGTGTTTGTAGGAAAGATGAAGGCATCGGCTCTCACTCGGGTAGGGAAAGCAGGTGAATCACCTGAGGATGAGCCCCTCGGTGCCGGGTGGGATGTGGGTGGGATGCGGGGGCTCCAGCCCATGGCTCTGCACCCCCAGCTTCTCCTGGGGGCCTTCCCCCAGGCACCATCCTCCAGGCACGCTCCCCGCAGCGTGGCCAGAGCGCCCCGTACAGACACCCCAAGCCAACACGGGTGTCTTACAAACACAGGAGTTGGGCGGCTGTGCTGCAGGAACTGTTTTTAAAGCTGTTCAGAGCACCTGTTTGCATTAAGGCTCAGTTCTTCTCTTGTCCCAAGCCAGCACGTGTGCTCAAATGCAAAATTTTAACCGCACCATCTTCTCCTTTCCCTCCTTCACTGAATATAAATCCAGGCCAAAGCGATACTGGTGACTGCACAATTTATCCTCCCTGTAATATATTTGTAGGGGGCTGCTTTCTTTTATGGGACACCTTTATTTTTTAATGCCAAAAATTAATTGTATTTTTATCGCTGAGGACCAGACACAATCACTGAGGAAAGAAACCAAAGGAAGCCCGAGCTCTTCAGGACTAAGCGTATCCATCAATTTGGCCACCGGCAGCTTGGGACCGATTCCGCCGTTATAGAACGTATTTTTAGCACATGGAAAAACAGTGTCATGAGCACATGATATGAAAAATACACAAAGCAATATATCATTTTTATGTCCTTTATTCTATCATAATCAGGTTAGGATTTTTTTTTTTTTTTTTTTTTTTGGAAATGTCTCCAGGGAGGCAGCCTGGAGGAACGTAACGGCCCATTGAACCCGCGGCGGGTGCGTGCAGGAGCGCTGGCAAAGCCGCTGCCGCGCCGAAGGAGACGGACACGGGGCCTGAAGCTAAGTTAGGGATGGTTTTACAGCCTAATGTAAGTGTACTTGTGCATAAAACCTCAGTTTTATGCTTTATTTGCAAACGTACCTTGAAATAATGGATTGGCAGCCCCCGCTCTGGTTCGTTCCTGGATGCTGAAAGCTGGTGTGTAAATCCCATTTAGATACCACTGGCAAATGAGGGGATGAGCAACAAAAATCACCAGGTAACTGGAAAAACACAGGAAGAAGCAAATACACGTTAAAAAAAATACAGAGTCTTGGACAAAAAAAAAAAAAAAAAGGAAAGATACACATCTACAAGGTGACCTGATGGGGCAGAAAATATTTTGGAGGTGAGCTCTATCCAGAAAAGATAGGCTGGGCTGGGAGGGGCCAGACTGGAACAGAGCAATTTGGCTGGTTTGTAGTGAAGTCTTGAAAATGAGAGAGACTAGGCTGTGAAATAATCTCCATAGGGAAAATGATAAAAATTCTTTTATTTATGACTCGTACTCTAAACTTGAGCATATATTCCCTATGGGGTGTTGCTGCAGTTACAAGAAGCCGGACCTGGGTTGCTGATGCCACGTCTCCATCGCTGCCGGAGGAAGTTCCCTGGTTTAGCTAATCGCTGTGTATCGCTGAAGCTGCGGGAATGAGAAATGCCAATCATGCTGTAAATATTAATTACGCATAAGAACTACTCAGAGGTTATCAAGCAAAGAAAACAAGCTCAGCAATTTCAGAAAGTGGAGAAAAAAAGGCAGTTTTCTTTAATTCACTCCCCTGCAGAACACCACGGGCTGTTTGACAGCAAGGGAGACGTTTCGAATCCTGTTACCCATTAGGGCACGTGTGTGTGTAATGGAACTGCCACTCAAAGCTTTCAAAATATAGATTCGGTGTTTCACAAATCCATCCAAACTCTCATTAAAACCCCTACAAGGCTAATGAAAGCTACGTCTCCCCTTCCCTTTGCCAAATATAAACGTCGGGCTGCTGAAGAGCCCGCGTTCGGGGTGGAGGCGACCACCGAGATCATTCAGAGCTGAGCCTACGCGGCCGTCACACACAAACCACCCTTTGTCTCACACCATTGGAAGGGACAGGAAGACGGGGCTGACACGCGTTCGTTTGCAGAGAGATGCCCCACAGTCTAAGGAATCTCCTTCCCCATCCACTTGTACCCAGCAGCCAACACTCCCTGGTTCCAGCTCTCTGGTTTTCACTGGGGCATTCCCGTGCCTTGTTGGAAGAGAGGAAACCACACGTTATTCTTAAGTAATTCTGTTGTTTGAGCACACCGTGCACTTGCTACCACTTTTCCTCCTTTTCAGACGGTACACCGTGACCATTTTGATACATAAATGACACCTTGAACTCGAACAAAGCATATCCACAGGATATTCTTTAAGTGAGAAATGAATTACCTTAGAAAAAAATGTGGTGTTATTGGAAAATGGAGCACAGCAGGTATTAGCTAATGATACCTACCTTTTGTCATACCTTGGACAAAAAAGGAAAATATATGCATTAATTAAAGCAGACTTTAGGGAAAATATTATTAACTGGTGCTATAATAAAAGCCAAAGGCTCCCAGGGAGCTCCGCTGTGCTGTGGCAGGGCTGTACAGCGGGGCTGTGTGGTTGGTTTGATTAAACGCACGAGGCTCGGCGCTTGGCGAGACGTGGAACAGCACCCGATGGCCCTGGAAGAGGGATAAGAAGCGTGGGACCCCGCAGGGGACTCTGGAGACTCAATACAGCTCGGAGGTGGGCAAGACTTCAGCTCCTGACTAAATGCTGCAGCCTAAACAGACCCCGCTTACCCACCCGCAGTGGATAAATGGCAACCCCACGCTCAATCCAGTGACTTTCCTAGATCAAAGAAAGGTGGATCAAGGAAGAAACCCACAATTTCATATATTCTATCATCTAAGCTCTTTCATATATCCTACCTAAGCTGGTGAAAGTGGCCCGTGGCACAGACCGTACTTGTGGGAGTTCAACCGTACCCACGGAAAGTGTCAAGTTAGACTGTAAAAACACTTTTAATAAAAGATTGCTGCCAAGTATCGATGTTCTGTCATTTGCAAGCTAAAATCTGGGAGCATTTAAAGCACTGTACTATTTTTAATTTTGATTAAAGGCCCATACTGCGCAGCAATGTTGGCATCCCACTACTACCACGGCTCAGTACCACGTACTGTAGATCCAGGGCTTGTACCTTGGTCCTAGCTTTGCTGCCCAGCGGGGCAAGGAGATAACAGCTTGTTTCATATCTCGGCAGCGCTGCAAAACTTCATTCCTCTAATTGATCGAAAAAGAGGGGTTTTAGCGAGCTCTTGAAAAATGTGAACTGTCATTGACTCAGCCCAGCGCTTTGAGATGAAAACTCTACAATAATTAATTCTGCTCTTAACCAGCCTAAGCAGGATCAATAGTCCCTGCTTTAGCAAGGGAGTTGGGGTGTGAGAGGCAATTGGCTGGTGGTGGAGCGCACCCAGTTCCTGGCCAGGAGCATGCTTCTTCATTTACTCTTGGAATTTTTATGCTGAAATGCCAAATGAATGCTGCCCAGAACGTGCAGCGCCGTGAAGCAGTTCCAGCCGTTGTCTGTCATTGCCGCGCTCTGCCTCGGAGCCAGGGCACACTCATCCTCATCTTCGCCGCTTGGACCCCTCCGGGGATGCACCAGGGAGGAGGTTTCGCCACGGTGTGCACGGGAAACAACGCTCAATCAGAGAAACAGCGATCAATTTAATAATAAAGTGGGAGTTCTGTCGTTTCCAGAAGATGTGAAACACTTTTTCTTAGCACAGCAAAGGGAGGTTATAACTTCCAGCAAGAACTCCTCATCGCACGGCCAGCGCACACTATGTCTAAACAGCCCTGGGCAGACACTTTCTTCAGGCTTGAAAGCTTCCAGAAAAGAAGATTCCACTATTTCCCTGGATAACTGACCCCAGAAGTTTTCCTTAGATCTGACCTCAGACACCCGGACTGCAAACTGACAGTTTTTCACGATCCATCGGCAGCAGCCGGGGAAAACAGCGGGTCGTGCCCTTCCTTGCCTTACGTGCCAGCTATTGGGCGGAAAAGCAGAACTGTTTCTCATCTAGTTCTGACGTTTCTTTGGACCAGAGACTGTCACGGGTTATTTTCTACTTGGTAGAGAGGTTCAAAGGGAACATTCACCTTGCAGTCATCAACTTAGAAGCAAGGGTGGGCCCAGGGGAGGAGATTAACGGCAGGACACAGCACTGACGACGACTCCCAGCGTGGAGGGGCGTTCCTGTCCTTCCTCCACCCCTGCGATGCTGCCACCTCCTCCTCCTCCTCACTACTCATTGCAGGTGCCCGAACCCCTCAGCCTCACGCCACCCTCCAGCTGCATAAGCTCTTTTCATATTTTAAAATCAGGAGCACCAGTGGGTATGGAGATGGCTGGATGTTCCTCATCATTTCCCGCTGCCGCGCTGAAGGAGGAAGCCCCCAAGCAAAGCATTCGGCAGTTGTCTCACTTCATCAGCAGAGTTTGTTTGTGTTGGATCATCCCCCAGAGCCACTGTGCTCCTGAAGAGCTGCCTCTGTCACCAACACCTCAGAGAAGTCAGTCAGCCAGGCGAGGATTGCCTTGGGAGCAGAAGGGAGCACGGACAAATCTGGCTTATTTCCAGCAAAACACGGCTGTCTTCTGAAGATACCAATCCAAAACCGGTGCACGCGGAGGTGAGTAGCTCAGAGTCGTATTTTAACAACCCTGTGAGTCTTGGAAAGAGCTTGCCAAGGAGCAGTAAACTCCTCGCTGGAGGTGGTAACACCTCTGAGGTGTGTCGTGGAACAGAAATATTAAACATAGTAAGATGCGTATTCAGGTGCCACAGAAAGACCAGTGTCACCATTTGTCATCCCTTAATTAATCCATTTTTAAATGACGTTGTGTCTAGAAAAATATCAGATATGGAGTTTAATTTGTTTCCCGTCTACGGACATTCAGCCACGACTGTTCCAGTGGCTGGTTATCCTCAAGGTTCAGAAATTACAATTTTTGTCCAGATATACCTCATGTCACACATGGATTTCTGTTTGGTTTTTTTTTCTCCTACAGTGGAAGGCTCTACGTTACCGATTTCCATTTCACGTATGAGGCTTAGAAATGGTGAGCCCTGAACTTCCTTTCAATTAACCAAAAGACATGCTTTTGGTAGCACAACTGTGCTCGTAGCACTTATCTGACTCTTTGCCAAATAATCAGTGTCCTTTTTTTTTTTCTTTTTTTAACTTGGGATGTTAGAACTGGACACAATGTTCCAGTCACAAAGCAACACAGCCTCTCTGCCCCATAAATCTGTATTCTTCTGTTTAAAAATGTGTAAGGATGCTAATTGTTCTTTTGGTCCCAGTTTCACACCTACCTTCAGCCAATTCCATCACAGTGACATAGAAACCCCTTCAAAATCCTAGTTCCTAGGGCACAGTCCAAGAGGCTATAAACATCACCCGCCTTCTTCATCCTTACATTTTCCATGTTAAACAATATCAAAATGGACATTGCATGAAGGGTAAAGCGTGATTGAAAACATCTATCTCGTATAAAGCCACGTAGGTCAGCAGCAGTTGTGTTGGCCTTTGGTAATCCATCATTTCAAAGTTTTGCTGCTCCCCTGTCATGCTTGTCCATGGATGGACAGACGGACAGGTGGGTGGATGGATGGATGGGATGGAAGGCTGGCTGGCTGGCTGGCTGGCTGGCTGGCTGGATGGATGGAAGGTTGGGTGGGTGGATGGATGGATGGATGATTAGGTGGGTGGGTGGGTGGATGGATGGATGGATGGAAGGAAGGTTGGGTGGATGATTGACTGATGTGCAGTGATTAGCAGGGTTGCTCCTTGCAGGCTCCCAAAGCTTTGGCACAGTGTTAGACATGAAATATCACTTTATACCTCTGGGCCTCTCCAAGCAGGCTAGAGCTCATTCAAACAACATCGAGAGCCCTTCGCTTGTTCTTTACATATTTTCAGAACAAATTTGTTTAACATAGAAATGAAGGCAGAAGCCTTCACTCCCCATGACTAACAGCTGTGTTGTTCCTATCCAATAATCTAGTAACAACACCATAGATAGTATTCTTTCCTTTACTTAAACACTTCTTTTTTAAAGTCTTGATGCACTGTTTTCTGCTTGCATTTCTCTCCCCTTTACTCCTTTATTTTACCAGAGTGTCTGGTTTCCAATTTTTACAGTAAGCATTCAGGTTTTTTATTTAAGATAAGCCTGTACGCAGTCGTTCTCACTCACCTTATAGGTCAAGATCATTTTTCTACAGCGGGGTATGTGGAAACAGTCCCAACACAGTGCTGCAGTCCGGGCTGAAAAGGAAAGGGAGGAGTTCCCACCGTGTCCCTCTGGGTGGCTTGGAACAGACGTGCCTCCGAGGAGATAAACTGTACAGCCCCGGGGCCTGCCAGGGTTTTCCCTTCAGCTTCAGAGCAGTGCCCACCCTGTCCTCTCTCCCACCTCCAGCTGCTGCCAGTCTCCATCTGCCTTCTGGGGCTGGCAAAGACAAAACCTCTGGCCAGTTGTGCCCCTCGAGGCATCCCCTTGCTGCCTCAGACCTGGCTGGTTACCTCCCCGCTGCATAAGCTCTGAATTCAGGCTCTTCCCAATCCCCATGGCATCTTGAGTTCTGCAAACAAAAAGCTTCCCGTGATAATATTTGAGCACTGAGATTAACCCACACCTGATACATCCCTGATTCTCCAGCTGCATTTTAGCATTGCAGCTGCAAAACAGGGATGACAGACTACTGTATTTCCCATCTTAGAAATGTGCAGTGTTTAACAAGATCTCTGTGATGTGATTATTTCAGGAAAAAAAAAAAATCTGTCTTGTTCCTTCCAAATCTAAAAGAAAAAAACCAAATTATGGAGTAGAAAGCAAGAATGTCATGTATTGCTTATGAAAAAACCTACAGTGCAGCACAAAATTTGGACCGTAATTATAGTGTTACACTTACCTTCTAATTTTGCTCTCTTCTGATACATTTTTAGAGAAATGATTGATAAGACAGACACTTTAATCCAGCACAGCAATGACTTAATGAGACTGTAAACCAGACATACCGCATTGCTATAACCACTTGATAGGAGCATAGCACAAAGTACCCATAATGATATGCTGGAGGCAGAGTTAATTTAAGAGTCATCAGTTATTCAGCCACCTGAGTACAGCTGCCCTCATTTACATGGTGAAAGCCCCAGCTCTGTAACACAACGATTTTGTCTGGAATAGAAATCCAAAATGGGAAAATGGAAAAAATATTAAAGCCGGTAGTAAAACAGCTCACACGAGCGGGATATTTGTTGTTGAAAGAGAAACGGTAGATTGATCTAAAGGTGATAGATAGTCACACTTACGTACTGGGCACTCTTCCAAGGAGTAACAATCCTGGAAAAATTCCTCCCGGAGAGAAGGACGTCCGTGGCACAGCCCTGGGTCCGTGCAGTGAGTCATCTCACAGGGCAAGAGGAGACGAGAAAGGGCCTGAACGAGTCTCCGGGAGCTGCAAGTGGCCGTCCTTAAATGGAGAAAAAAAGGGTGGTGGTGGGTGTGCGGGCTCAAGAGGGCTGGAGAACTTTGCCTTTTATAGCTGGTGGTACCTCTGGCCTCTCTAAGAGGCTCCTGCTTTCAGCCCCTCATTTCCTCTGCGTCCAGGACAAGGTGTCACCCGGGAGCGGCCCTGCTAAACGGAAATCGGGTCGGCGGGTGTCGGGGACAGGACATCACCTCTCATTGCTAAACTGGGGGCTCTGGGCCACAGCGGCGTCTCCTGCTTTGTCCTACAAACGCTCCAGAGATGCACATTTCCCCCAGTTGTGCTGTCAGCACCCCCTGCCCTGGCAAGCCACCCCTAGAGCTTCGGGGTGCGGTAACACCCCAACGCTGATCCCACCAAATCGGTGTGGGCTGTGGTAGCCTGTGGATTCCATATGTTAAAGCCTTGGATGAAACCACTATAGCAAGTGTAAAAACACAAATTATGGTAGATGTGGCAAAGTCTAGATATATCCTGTCTACACCACCAATTTATTTCCTGAACCCCGTTCCTGGAGGAGCAGGCGGCGGTGTGGGGGGTGGCACCTCCCTGCTTAAATATTCCCACGCGCTTTCCTCCATAATTCTGTACAGTTGTTAAAAGGACCACAGATTTTATCAGGAGCAACTTAAAAAGTTCTGTGGTTCAGTCACCCAGAGGACAATCTGCCCGATGCTCGTGGCAGCCCCGAGCGATGCTCGCACCTGCGGAGGCCCTGCAAGGCTACTGAAAATTACTGCCACGGCCGCTCTCCTTCTGGCATTTTTAGCACTAATTAAATTCTCCCAGATTAAAGTATCCGCAAATTTTTGCGCTGTCTTTGCTGGTAACGTGATATGGAACAGCCATAGCTAGCGGTGCATTAAAAGCTTTATTTTTGCTCTCTTTTCTTTGCTTCATGTTGCTTATCCTACCAGAGAAGCACTTTTAACTTTCTTCTGCCTGTGGAGGACTGATCCACACTGACCCATATATTGAAATGTAAATCAGCTGAAATGACCTGACCTGCTCGGTTGAAAAATACATGTGTTGGTACTTCTGCGTTTTGACAGGTATAAATAATAAAAAATAAAGCAGGTATGTACACATTTAAAAACAAAAAAACTACACTGCCGCAGGGCAGAGGCCAGAGGCCCTCGGAAGGTGCCTGATGCAACCCAGGTTTCTATGGAAGGGAGTAATGAGAAACCTGTCCCGTGCTCTGTCATTTGGAAATCGTCCTCTGCCAACAGCAGCGAGCACAAACTGAACAGAAACACAGATAAAAGCAGGTTAAGCACCACAGTTGGTCCAGCATCCCTCCAGTGCTGCCCACCGAGTCCCCGCCACCCGCTTCTCCTGCCCCCCAGGGCGAGGACTGGTGGGAATCGTGGAATCATTTAGGTCAGAAAAGACCCTGAAGACCATCGAGTCCCCCGGGAAATTCCTCCCCTGGAAGCCCAGGGGGCTGCTTCATCAATCACACAGCACGAGCAGAAAGTCCTCTGACCGCCAACCAGCGCCACTTCGGGGAGATGAGGGACATTTTTCTTTCAGGGTGAAGATCAGGGAAGGTGCAAATAGCGGGGTATGACCAGGCAATGGGGGCGAGGGAAAAGAAATAAGTGAAATAATTCTTTCAGCTCTCAGCTGAAGCTCTGAGCAACTCCAAGGACTCACTGAGAAGCGGTGAGCGACCTCGGCTCCCGCTGGCACTCGGCAGGGTTGGGGGTTATGGAAGGAAGAAATAACAAGGCGTTATCTCCCTCAGTCGATCTCCAAAGCCCCTTTCCCCTGGCGCTGGATCACAAGGAAAGCAAAACACCTTAAATCAGCTCCTGCCCATCTCCTCCTCATGACAAAAGGAACGCGCCGGCTGATAGCGCAGCAAGGTTGTAAAATATTGCTGTTTAAAGATGGACACTGTGCTATGAAAACGCTTCAACCACTGTTTATGTTTCCAGGGTGAGATTTGCCATTCTCCCTCCAAATCCCAAGGCAGATTAATAGGGACAATTAATTTTCTTCGGGTCTTTGTTCTTCCACCACCAAAAGATAAGCCTCTGTGTTTCTTTTTCAGCCGGCGTTTTCTTCCTATTCAGTAATCCACAATAGGAGGAGAGAGAATGGGGGAGAGAACAAAGCCCCCGCTCGGAGCCAGGCGCCAGCCCGTTTTCAGAAGGGGTTGTTCCTGGGACAGGAGGACAAGATGCAATTCATAAAGTTAAAGGTATAATTAAACGAAATGGAGTTTTGTAGCTTTGCGAGATAATAAGAAAAAACCTACGTTCTTTTAGAGAACAAGAGTTGGCTTAAATATTTAGAAGAGGCAGACGATCAATGCACGCAACGTTTTCACAGGTAAAGCTGCTGCGGCTAATTCATAACGTTACAGATGAACCTGTCACCGGAGCTGACACTACAAATTAAATTCTGTATTCCCTCCGCAGCCGTACCAATATCAGCTATATTAAATCCGTATTTAAAATAGCTTGTTCCATGTAGGGCCAAATCGAAATGGCTCAGCGCCTTGGTAACAGCTTCCCACCCACAGATCCTCTCCTCCGGTCTGGCCAGTGCCGTGGTCATCACACCCAGCCTGTGGTGGCCTGTGGGCCCGGTGGCAACTGGCCAGGGCTTGCCTCCACGGCAGCAGCATCTTCACTTGCAGGGTGTCCCTGCTCTCGACAAAGGCACAACTGGCTGGTTGTGCTGGAGCAGGACAGGGCTGGCCTGCGGTCCTTCCACGCTGCCACCAGCAGTTGCATGAAACGTGGTAAAATTAAGTAATATAACGACAAAATAAACAGCACCGTGTCCAAATCGGTGATGCCAAAGCTGTAAGCTTTGCAAACGGGGAAGGCACTCTGTCAGAAAATACATTTGGGAAGGGGATTATGGTAAAAAACTTGTGGGGTTTCTTTTTTCCCCTCAAATAATGATCTTGACCCACAGAACTTGATACAAAACACATTTTTGCACGTGCAGCCACACGCACAAAAACACATCTTCATAACCCGGGTGGGCAGAGAGGGGGGTATGGGGTTTGCATTTTGATTAAATATTCTTGTGTTTCTCTAACGCTTTGACCCTTGCCCACTGGAAATCGAGAAAGCTCCATTCCAACGTGTGCAGAAATCCACCCTGACTTGGCAGATGCCTGTATCCCGGAGGCGGCCGCGCTGTGGTTCTGCATAAATCCTGTTGCCTGTAACATCTTCCTTTTCTAATCAGAAACGCTTAAGAATTCTGAGAAGTTCTACTTAATTCTATGGAATGATGTAACGAAAAGGGGCCTATTTTAAATTAAACACTAGTTGCCAGTAAATGATATTTCAAGTATTTGGGCTCAGAAACTGCACTTCAGTATTCCTGCAGCTTTTCTTCCTTTCACTTGACCCAAAGAGTGATTTTGGGGCGAACAAGACAACGTATGGGAATCTTCCTTTGAAAACGGCCACGTTATTTATTACATTTTCTGTGCTTCAGATATCTAATAAGTGCTAAGTAATATCCTCGATATTTCAATAGCAATTTAGCATGAACATTTATCCTAGATAAGTAAAAAATTCCATGTGCATGCTGAGAGAGAAAAAATGGAGCCTGAGCTGATGAGCAATTTTGGTATCACGCATCAGCCGTAAGTAACAACTCCAGGGGCGCCGGTTACAGCCAGCAGCAAAACGGGCTCGCTCAGTTACGGTCCAGGGGAACTGTTAATGCTCCTATAAACTATTTGTCACCCGTAATAACGAGCGACTTGGAAGGGATTAGGTTTTACTGCCCGACCCACGATCAGCAGTCCCCCGACTGTACATCTTCAGTTGCTTAAAAAAATAGGAAATAAAAGCAGAAATTATCTCCTAACCACTGGTAGCTATTTAAAAAAAAATAAAAGTGCACTATTAGATGCATCATTTTGCCATGTCTTTTAGATTTTATGGCTGGAGTTGGGATAAATGAACAAAGTAGGCCAGAATGCAAATTAAAAAAAAACTGAAGGAAAAAGCTAGAAAGAGAAGAAAGCGTAAAGCACAGAGTGTGGCTGCTAGAAGCACCATCCAGGGACCACCCCATCCCCTCCCCAGGGCTGCTTAGCTCACAGGGAACAGCCTCGCATCCCTTCCCCGAGTCCCACGCAAAAAATAACGTTTCCTTTCCCCACTGCATCCCCCCCGTACCCGGAGCCGCCGGCAACGCTCCCCAACGGCCCCCGAAGATCCGGCGGCATCTGCACCCAAAAAGGTCCTGGTGAAGCAACACCAAGAGGCTGCAGCTGGTTGGAAACTCCCGTATTTATAGAAGGGGGATGTTTATAGGAGCCCTGCCGCGGCTGCCAACCACGAATGTAAATCGTGACGATGGCTGTTATTAATAATAGCAAACGGACTCAGAGCCTTCCCGCTGGAGGTGACCGTGCACAAGGCTTTACCCCTGGGCGCTTTTTTCAGTTGTTTTAAACTGTCTCAATAATATGAAACCAGCAGTTTTCAGCAGAACAAACGTAGCTTCAGGGGCTTCTTACGCCCGTGAAGCCCCAGCCTGGGCCGAGCTTAAAAGGGGCAGCAGAGGGGAAGGAGTTACCTTCGCAGTGGTTGTTCTTCTCCGTTCACACCTTGACTCTGCTTGCAGAACTACCGGGCTGAGAATATCGGGAGTCAACTGACCATCAATGTCATTCCCTTCCTTAAATTGCTCCCGTGCTTTACTCTTCACGATACGCTTCGTTCCTCAGCTCAAGGTCTCATTCTGCAAAGGTAAGGCAAGTCAGAGGTCTATGACAAAATGAGACAGTTCACTGATCGCTTTATTGCGCCCCCAGTTTATGAACCCTGACTATTTGACAGCAGGGAGGGAGGTCAGCGGCTCCCTGTGCCGGGGAGAGCAGCGCCGAGTGGCGGCCTCAGGGGTCGGGGCTGGGGCCGGCGCTGTTGAACATTTTTCCTGGGGACACGGACAGTGGGATCGAGGCACCCTCAGCAAGTTTCCAGATGACCCTGAGCTGGGTGGTGTGGTTGATACTCTAAAGGGAAGGGATGGGCCATCCAGAGGGACCTGGACAGGCTGCAGAGGGGGAACCACGCAAACCTCATGGAGTTCAACAAGGCCAAGGGCGAGGTCCTGCACATGGGTCAGGGTGATCCCCAGAACAAATCCAGGCTGGGCGAGGAGGGGCTAGAGAGCAGCCCCCAGGAGAAGGACTTGGGGGGTGGGGGGTGGAAAACTGATTGTGAACCAGCAATGTGTGCTGGGCTGCACCCAGAGCAGGGTGGGCACAGGGCCGGGGGGGATTCTCCCCTCTGCTCCGCTCTGGGAGACCCCCCTGCAGGGCTGGGTCCAGCTCTGGGGCACCAACAGCAGAAGGACACGGACCTGCTGGAGCGGGGCCAGAGGAGGCCACGGAGATGCTGGGGGGGCTGGAGCCCCCCTGTGAGGACAGGCTGGGAGAGTTGGGGGGTTCAGCTGGAGAAGAGAAGGCTCCGGGGAGACCTTAGAGCGGCCCCCCCAGGGCTGAAAGGGGCTGCGGGAAAGGGGGGGAGGGATAGGACAAGGGGGAATGGTTTTAACCTGACAGAGGGGAGATTTAGGTGAGATCTGAGGCAGAAAGTGTCCCCTGTGAGGGGGGTGAGGCCCTGGCACAGGCTGCCCAGAGAAGCTGTGGCTGCCCCCTCCCTGGAAGGGCTCAAGGCCAGGTTGGACGGGGCTTTGGGCAACCTGGGCTGGTGGAAGGTGGCCCTGCCCGGGGCAGGGGGTGGCACTGCAGGGGCTCTGAGGTCCCTTCCCACCCAAACCAGTCTAAGATTCTATGATGCTATGATTCCAACTGCCTGAGATTTTCCTAAGGCTCATGAAAATATAGCTTGCTGCCGTTCTTTTTGTATTTTTAGAATCAGTGCTGAATTTGCATGAAAGAGAAAAATGTATTTTGCCTAATTAGAAATCATTAATTTGAGGGAACAGATGGAACTGTTTGTTTGTGAGACAGAGATCTTTAGTTTGGTCTGTAAAGGATACATTGCATCTGGGTAGCATGGACAGTTTTCAACTCCTTGCTACACGTATTTAAGGACCATTTGCATTTGGGCAAACACTAGAGAAGGAGCTTAAGGCACTCAGATGCTGGAGTGCTGGAGAAATTTGTCATTAACCTCCCCTGATGCTTTGGAAAATACCGTTATACCATCTCTGGCAATGCTTTAATTCTTCATGAATGTGGCAATTACTAATGCTGCTGCTGCTACTATGAGCAAACCCTAGAGAACAAGAAGATATATTCCATCCCTACCCATGATATAGGATTATTTAGTTGGTCTCTAGCTGCTTTGGTAGAAGCAAATATATTGGTTATTTTAGACAACTACACGACCTCCTCCTTCAGCTGCAGAGGGTCTCACCACTTCCTACAGTCATATCCTAGGACGGTCCTTGTCTCACTGAAGGAGCGGGGCCCCTGCGGTGCTGTTGTGGTTGGGTTTCTGCCCCCTCCTGCTTGGGGAGGTTGGAATTGCCACAGATCCCATCCGTAGCAAAACTTAAGAGCCCAACTGTTTGTCCAAGCAGGTCGTGTTATGTTGATTTTTAATCACTTAGGAGGAAGTCAAGATCTAGAAGCGGTCACGTTGCATCCGTGACACCAGATGTTCACATCAGCACAACCCCAAGGTGATATAATCGTGTCTGGATCTCACCGCTGCTTCCCAGTGGGACTGTAAGGGTGTGGTGTTGGTACAGCACAGCAAAAACCACACAGAAAACATTCTGCTATTTCAGTAAGCTCCCTGCTGCATTTGAGCACAAATACCAATATTTCCCTTTCGGAAACAACTTGCTCGCTAGATGAACATTCTATAGGAATCGGGGTAACGACAAACACAACTCAGCAGCCATACTCCTTCAAATGCCAAGGATCAGCACTAGGAATACATTTTCCACTTATCATCTACGTGTTTTATCCTCACACCAGGGAAAAGTTCACTTCTCCTTGGCAGGGGGCTTCTTTCAGTCTCTTAAAATATTTTTCACGTTTACTTTTTTTTTTTTTTTTTTTTTTTTTTGTACTTCTTCTCAGGAGATGGAGCCTGACTGCTGATGGGAGCCAGTGCCAGGCAAATGCCTGCCAGGTATTTTTCTTCAGTTTCTGAACATGCAAATTAAATTTCTGTGGCTACCATGTGAATTGAGTTAAAACAGAAAATAAAGGAAAACAAGGAGGCTTGGGGCAGGCTGGAGGCTTTAGTCATATCTCGGTTTAAACTGAAAAATAACCTACTATTGCAGGGTCTTCAGAAAAGAATTAGAAAATGTCCAGGATATAGAAGAGAAAAAGATGGATGATCTTATGACAGAAGAAAAATGAACAATAAAAATCCGCTATTGTCCAGTTGTCTGAGGGAGAGAGGTGGCCAGTCTGTGCTTTCTGAGGCTTTTTGCTGAATATAATGTAATTTCTCAGGCATGTTACTGTCTGATAACTGTGGATAAAGTGTTTGTTTCAGAAAAAAATTAGTATGGTCAGAGAGCTATGCATAAGAAAGGCTCATATAAACTGATTAGCAGTGAAAGAAGAATGGAGATGCTATCTTGGCTGCTCACACAGCTTTCTGAAAACTTCCCCGCAATAATTATACTGAATTATATTCTCAAATACAAAGCCCCACAGATAGCCTTTTATACTGAATTAAAAATCACAAATCAGGAGCCGATTCAAACCACAACTCATTAGCACATGTAGAGACACAGGAATGAGAAAGGAGTTCTTTTTTGAAAAGGGTTGAAATCAAAGTTGTATCTGCCAGTTTGCTCCCTGAGCTCAGGCTCAGCTTCATCTGAGAAGGGACTAGCTGGTCCCTCAGTGAGCACAGGGAATGAAGCTGCCTCTTGGATTTGGGCTTAATTTTGCAGCCTCTTAAGGGAGACACACCCCAAATCCCCAGGAGACCTCCCAGTTAGAAAAGCAAACCTGGTTATTCAGGGCAGAGCGGGATAGCCTGCACCAAGGGTTAACATGAAGCTCAAGTTAGCGTTAGTTTAACCTTAGGTCACCCTGTCTCCTTGCCGTATCTGCTCACCAGTTAGAATTTCCCCTAAGAGGTGAAGTTCCCCTGTTTCTCCTGAAGGCCCGGACCCAGCTGTGGTTCAGCTCCCCAGGATGTGGGATGGTGCCAGCCATTCCCTCCTCCTCCTCCTCCCTCCCAGCCTCATCCCTGTCTCCAAGGTCTCTCTTGGGAATGCTGAACACTGATTCAGTCTTCACATAAAGCATCACAAGCATCCTGCAAATCACCAAGGAAATGATGGAGCCTGATTTAGACCTACTCTTAAAACCCATCTCATGCTGGACAAGACCAGGATTTCCTCCTGATGCAAAGGCAAAACCCATCACGTGCAGCCTTGCCTTCTCGTCCCCTCTGAAGGGGAGATTTGAGGCCCTGACATGCTGTGGCAGAGGGGAGTAGAGGCTCAGACGAGGAGGATGGAGCACGAGGTCTGAGCAGGGGAAGGTGCAGCACAAGCAGCTTTGGAGAAGATGCTTCAATGAACCGTAGATCAGATATTGTATCCCTTGACTCTGCTTCTCCACTCTCTTTTCTCTTCCCTGCGCTGCAGCAGACATGGCAAGACAGAGCAGCAAGGCTTTCCCTGATCCAGTCCCTTGGGGTCCCCTATCATCACCTCCCAGTCACAATCTCATGCAGGACAAGGACCTACTGCTGCACCCCAGCTCCAATGCCAGCCCCACGTGTGACAGGTTTGCCAAATCAGGGACACAGACCAAAGCCTACTGGGACCAGCAAAAGCGTACCCCAAGGCTTCACTTAGCTCTGGCCTGAAGCCTGGGTCCTACTCCTCATCTGATAGAGGAGAAAAGTGTAACCCCACAGAAGTCCTAAACCCTAGGGAGGATTTCACCATGCACTAGCAGACAGCAAGGTAAATAAAAGCACAGACATGTGACAATTTGGGAAGTTTTTATACCCAGATATAATATAGATGAGAAGGACCATGCTCATGTGGAAAGCAAAAAACCACAGGCCAGGTATTTTTGCTCTGCCAGGTCAACAGCCTACCTCTGCCCTACTGCTGCTAAAGTGCCTGTAGGAAAGGCTTTGAACTGGTCAGGATGGTCCATTTGGGCTGGTCTTCACCTAAAAGGGTGCCTCTCACGGCCAGGAAACTCACCTCGGTGGTAAAGATCATCGGCCAACCTCTTGGTTCCATTCCTTTGCTTTAAAGAATGGTTGCGTTATTATTCCGGCAGTTTTTCTAAGACTTCGGGTCTGGAAGATTTCACCAAAAAAGTATATTCTGGAAAGTTTTGGATAGAAATAACAGATATACAGTAATATAGTCAAGCAACCTGGACATTTGGAAAGCTGTTGTTTGTAGTTTTGTATCACAGGTCATTTAAAAATGCTGCTCAGGTTCAGAAAACTGCTTTTCTGAAAATAACACTTACTTTTCAATAGAGTCCAATTAGTATTAGCTAGAATATGTTTGATTTGGTAAAAAAGTGTTTCAAGCACTAGAAATTCTTTATAGAGTGACCTACTTTAAAATCAAGATTAAAATAAACCATTTACTTAAAATGCTATTTTAGAAGAAGATCTGAGAACTGGGAAACATTCTGAATAAAGACAATTCTTTAATTCATGGCTTTCCATCAAGCGTCATAATTTTAAATTTAACTACACGCACTTTCAGAAATTAAAACCAGTGACTCCAACAAACTTCAGAAGGATGGCAGAAGCTCTTGGACAAGCTGACAGAAAATTAAGACGACATTGACTAGCAGTACATTAAGACTGGAAGCATTTCAGTTCTCCAACAGCCACACAAAGGAGAAAATGAAACGCCAACCGTGGATACCAGCAGAATGGTTTCCCTGGCAATTGTAACTATGCAAAAGACTTTAATTTCCTTCCATCTGCTTAATACAAGCAAATATTTAAGCCTATCAACTGATCTATAAAGATTAGCTCAACTGTAATCACACCATCTTATTAATTTCAAATCACAGGGCCGTACCCAGAGGAACAACGCGACCACGTACACACCTGTGAGCATTTCAGTGGCCTGGGTGGATTATTCCCTTGCGTACAGCTCCGCAAGTACTTTCATGCTTTCTTTGATTCAGAAGACAAAAAGGCAAAACAATCAAAGGCAGAACTGGGAAAAACTGCATAGACCCAAACTGGGAGAAACTAATGAGGTTTCTGTTTGAAAGCTGAACTTCCCCCAGTGCCGGTGGCCAAATTAGATGAACATTTCCAGAGAAAGAAGAACATGCAACGCTCGTCTGGGACACACGAACCATTTTTCTTGGCTGTTGTTGTAAGGGGAGGGGGTTTTGTTTGCTTGCACTTTTTTTTTTTTCTTTTTTTCCAACACTAAAATCACAGCCTGGTGTCACAGGCTCTAATGTATTGCTTCAGTTGCTCATAATTAGAGTTACTTATGCCAAAGAGGAACAGATTGATCATTTCATCTGAAGGCAATGGAAACCTGTTCTGGCCCCAGTGCCAGGGGATTCCATAATCCTGGAGGGAACATTCAGAACAGATCATTGCCCAAGCGCAAATGTGCGTTGGCATGTGCAAACAAAACTGATTGGGGGTTTATTAATGATAATTATTTCCTATGAATGAGTTGACTGTTCCGTGTTTTGTCTTTTAAAGAACACCAGCTACCTGGAAATGATGGCTCGTGGGAACTGCTTTTACATTCCATTGTTTTGAATCAATGGGGAAAAAAAATAGACAGTGTATGAAGATTAATTCATAAAATTAAAGGAGGAGAACTTCACATTTTATTCTTACATCAAAGGAGAGGGAAGACTTCACGACAGAGGAGGCAGCATGGATGATCACTGTGCATAAGGGCCCTTGCAGGAGGGCACAGGCAGGGTCGGGGGTCCCACTGCCGAGGCCCTGGTGTCCTCCTCTTTTTGGGTTAGAACAGATCCCACAGAGCCATGTCAAACCTGCCCCCTCCCCTTGCCCCAGAGAGCCCCCGAAGGTCGCTGTGAGCAGAGCGCCCTCGCTTCCATTTCTCAGCATCAGGGAGGAGGGAGCTCACGGGGAGCAGCGGGAGCTCATCGACGTGAAAAATGTTCCTGTTGTTCTGCTAATATAGGGAAGATGGATGAGGTTTGGTTTGCTTTGAGCCTCTATCAGTTTAAAAGTAAAAAAAAAAGTCTATTATTATTGCTATTTTTCTGAAGGGTGTATTAAATTTCAGCCATCCTACATGACGGTTTAAAATGAGCTCACTAGCTAACTTTAATTAAAAGGAAAAAAACCCCACAATCTAGCTTTGATTGACAGCTATGTCATTGGATGTAATTAGTAACCTTTCACCATGCACTCTGAAGATGACAGATGCGGGCTTCATTCCAAGCCCACGTGCCCCCCACGTGCCATTCCCCAGCCCGCACGGGGACTGGGGCTGCTCCCCGTACCCCGAGGGTGCGCGTGGGGAGCGCTGCTCTCAGGGAACCCGCGTGGGGGGAGACGGCCCTGCCATCGCCGTTTGCTCACCACATCCCCACTGCAAATAGTTCTGAGGGATCAGATACTTTCGTCACGTCTGGCCCTCCCAAGTGAAGCCTGCACACATGCCAGGGATCGGGGCGACGTCTGCGCGGTGGCCACCGGCTCCTTGGAGATTTTGTGCGACCGGAGGCCTTTTGCTAAGGCCAACATCTGATCTCCTGGTACAGAACCATAGACACTTATTAGACAGGTACCATCAGAGCATATAGAGACTGAAAAACAATCACACAAGTCCACCATAGAACCACGCAATGATCCCCATCAGGGCAGGCAGGGTGCCAGTAGCCAAGTTCACCAAGTACTGTAGGAGGTAGCCTATATTAACATATTTTTCCTTTTTTTTTTTTACCCCCTTGATCTCCACCTTCCATCAATATATTTGCCTGTATCATTCATGGTGGATGTTGTAAATAAATGGTGTTTTCTCTGCCAGTAGCAGTACCCCAGCCCACTCCTTGGAATTTCCTACAACAGCGGGGAGCACGCCTGAATCCCAGGAGCTCCCTGAAAGCTTGGTAGGATCTATAAAAAGAAATAAATAGATTGGTCTTCTCATCAGTCTGAGAGCAGGGTTTTGACCAAAAATCTGTCCTCTATATTAATTTCTTTTTTCTCCCTTGATCTCGTTACTTGTATTTTTTTGGTTTATAAGTCTGTGGCTTGGGCAGACGGCTCCTGGCCTGGCAGTGCTGCCCAGGGCCCCCGCAACCCCTCAGCATTGCCTTTTGCTTTAGGGCACCTGAGAAGTGACCCTCAGGGCTTCGAGTTCGGGGCAGGCAGGAGCCCGTCGGGCAGCACCACACCAGTATTTGCATCCTGCTCACACCACGGAAAGCACCACGGAACAGGGCACAAAGTGGGTTTGCAGCTGCCAGATTGAATTAAGGAATAAAATAAGTCGTGGCTCCGGCAAACAGACAAACCCAGAAGACTCCTCTTAATTTCTGGGCAATTAGGATGCTTGGCTAAGACTTTTAGCAGCCTCCAAGGTCCTGTTTAACCCACAAGGAAAAGGAAATGAGTGAAATGCTGGAATAGGCTGGGTTTAAGGGAGGATGGCGTGTTCATCTTGCAGGTATCCTGACGTGGTGCCTCAGGGCAGTCAGCTCAGGGTTTTCAACCCGGAGACAAAAGCTACTAAATTGTATTCACAAAGATGTAAGTGCCTGAATGCTGATTTTATGGGAAAAAAAAATTACCTCTTTAGGCACAGAGAAGCAGACCCAGGTCAAGCCTTCCCAGCACAGCCCTATACCACATGCTGCCCCTATTTGTCCTACAGAAAGACTATTTATTGTCAAGTACACAAGTAAGATATTAGCTACAAGCCTGATTTTCAAGCCTTATCACGACCATTAGTTACAAAATGAGATCAAGTAACTTACTCTAAATGTTTGGCACAGTCACTGTGGTCTGTGGGCAGGCTGGACGAAGCACAGAGTCCAGGGTGGCTTCTCCTGGAGATCACTACGGCTGATTAGTCCCCTAATTCCTGCAATTATTAACCTTAATGAAATTTTGCTCTCTAATAGCTGCATAGCTATTGATTTTTAATTGTTTTGTTTGTGCCTTGGATTGATTAATATCAATTCTGAAAGGCAGGCACAGCAGGAAGAGTCATTTGTCATTTGCAAATTAACATGAAAACGAGATGAACCCGGTAAGCTGCCGTGCATGAAGGAGCTGCTGAGAACATCCACGGACCCCTCGCCGTGAGCATCCCCGTCCCAGATAGCTGGGGGCCATTAAAGGCTTTGCCTGGAGGGGAGAAGACGAGATGTGAGATCTTTACCTGCCCTTCACATCTCCTTCACTTACACCACTTTCTACCTCCTTCTGCTCGTGCTCTGGGCGCTGCTACCAGCAGTGCAAAACCTGGGGAGGCAGCAAGCAGCATCTTCATGCCTAAAATCAGCCAGGCTCTTGGGAAACCATTTTCTCTATTTTTAATTATATTCCATAGATGATATTTAGCATAGTCTTGTCTAAAAGTTATACGTAGAGATGCCTAGATAAGCGAGGGGTATTTAAAGTCACCTGTTCAATTCTGCTGTGACTTGTGTTCATTTCAGAGGGGGGAAAACCCTGAGATGCTGAGGGGGTCTGCACAGCCGTGGGGTCCCTGCGCTTGCAGTGCCACACACAAAAATCCTCCTACAACATTAGCCCAGGAAATCAAAAGTGAAGCTATTGTCACCGAGTCTGCATGTATAGAGGTCACAGCATCCGAGCCACGTCTGATGTAAAAAAAGATGAATTCCTTGTGACGTATCCAAGATGTTTCTTTAATTTGGATTAAGCAGCATCCCTGCCTAGATCATAAACAAAACCCAAAGCTTTAAAATCCCTCACACATTGGCATATTTTCTTCAGATGAAATAACCATCAGGTATAAATAAAGGAGCGATGCTAAACAGCGTAATTAAAAACCAGATAGAGATTAACATCCAATAACAAGAAGCAAGGGAGGAGCAGGAGCAGGACCCAGCCCTTCCCTGGGGTAGTCACCAGGGTGTGTTGGGGACCACTCAGGGCCTTGGGTCGGCGCCACCCTTGATACCACGGTCCCGTTACTGCTGCCACCGTCACCCAGGACGCGCTGCAGTGCTTCGGCCTGAGGGCTCCCAGGGCAGAGGAATCTTCTTGGCCCCAGTCTGTACCCTTCTCCTGAAGGAGGTCAACGTGACACCTAAGAAGGTACAGTTCCATCTCTGGCATCCCACCCGCGGATGTTCTAGTTCGGTTACTTGCACCACTAGGCACAAGCAAGGGGAGCCCGTTTGCTCACAAACCAACCCCCGCAGCTCTCCCACTTCAGGCTGGTTTACCACCAAAACGCCCGAGAGGACACAGGAGGCCGGGCAGTTCCAGTTCTCCCCCGAGCATCCCATGGCAGGGACGCGGGGGTGCAGCACATGGCTCCCTGGGTGCCCGGGTGGGTGCCGGTGGAGGGTGAGCCCCAGCCCGCTCCCAGCATGCGTGGTGGGGGCTGCCATTTGCTCTGGATTAACGTCTTGCCAGGGCACGTCCCTCCTTCCTCCCCCTCAGCAGCCTGGGGAGCCACAGTCCGCAGCAACTGGCATTTCCACAGGCTTTAGCATTTACCTTTTTAAAATTTTTTTATGTTAGCACGTGTGGAAATGCTGAGTCTTAAGGAAGAATACAGCTGTTCAAAGTATTTCTCTTCCAGCAGCCTCCTGTTCACAGAAGGGATTCTGCTTACTCAATTGCTGTTGAAAATTTAAATCTCCTAGCAGAAAACTGCAAAGCAAAGTGCAGCAAAAGTCTCTGCTTGGCTTTTTGAAACGTAGAGAAAATAACTTTACACACAGGACATACCTGTGAGGTGTCTCGCTCCCAGCTGGGGCGTTGCCATAAACACCCAGAACATAAGAAATTCGGCATCAATGAGAGGGGCAGGGTAGAGGCCACAGCCCCTCAGTCTTTACAGTTTCAAAGCTTTCTCAATTTTAACAGATCCACGTTACTACTCACTTTCCAGTTGGCCAAAATAACGCAGGTGGTGAGAAGCAGGAGGTAGTTCAGTCTGCCTTCCCAAGTGGGATTTTTCTAGTGTTTTGTGTTGGTGATGGAGTCCCCTGTACCCTGCTGGGAGGAATATACGGTCTGGTCATAAGACAGCAAGTTCCTCAGCTCTGTTAAAAGTTTTGCTGAAACTTCTGTAAAGTGGAGGTGAAATTTAAGAAGTCTTCTACAGTAATAGCCAGCAAGTTACTATACATAAAGCAAAATATTTTAATTTTTAGAATTCAGGAATTAATTTTCTTTCACATGCTTAGAAGATTAAAGAAAATTAGTTTTATGCTCCCCATAGATATGAATTACTGTGTTTCATGTTGACATTTTACACAAGAAAGTATTAACATAGAGAAGTTTGGATCAGATACGATTTCCATGCTGTCTCTGGATGAAATGGGTTGCTCACTGCATACAAGTCACAGATTCCGTAAACCAGGAATGGGTCACGCTCCTTTTTTAATTCCAGAAATCATCAGCTATTCTCTTTGTGCTGGGCTGGAGTGAAGATACGCTCATTTTAGAGGCACAAGGACTATTAGCATCAACACAACAGGCTGTTGCCAACATGTCCTCACTGCCTGTACCTGCCCATGACGTCTCCTTTTGCTCATTTCTGTCCCACTCAAGTGAAAAACCAACCCATTTTTTCCTGTTTACTGTCATTCTGGCTGGAGGGGACTCCAGGATCTTGTAGGGCACGGCTGGAGTCTGCTGGTCCAGCTACCACAGATGGTACTGCCAACCGTGAGCTGGCCCTGCCTAAGCGAGGTCTCTGCTGTAATGGAAAATCCCCCGGGGCCAAGCAAGACACTGCTTTTTGTACTTTTCTCAGACGCTATGACACTGCTCCGTGTTAATTAGCTTCTCAGAATCGAGGTGCTTCAACGTGCAGTTCCGAGCAAGCATTTTGACAGAAATTACGCCAAGATCAAGCTCAGCAGTACAATACAGCAGAGCCGTGCCTTTTCTTCCCAGAATTTCTCTATTTGCTCCCCGTGGGGTTATGGTGAGGCCACCTCTCACGATGGCACAGCTCCAACACTGCAGGATGAGGTCAGGCTGCCCGGCGGGGACTCCGATGTGACACCCCTTGCCAGCGTGCAGCCCCCCAGCCTGCCAAGGCTACAACCTCCCCAGGAACAAGCTGCTGCAGACCCAGGCATGGCCCAGCTCACAAAGAGCTCACCCACCCTTGGGGAAGATGCTCTTCTCTTGCACCGCTGCCATCACTCAGCTGTTCGCCGTGAGGGGTGATGCCCCCGACAGCAAATGCGGCTCTGAGCAGCTTAACCCTGCCAAGGATCAGTGGGAAGAAGAAAACCACCATCGTGGATGGTCAGTCATAACTCACATACCTCAGCTGTGATCTCCAACTTCACCATGTGGGTTCTCCTCCAGCAGAAGCCTTTCTGGCAGAAGCAACTGGCTGCCAGAGCCCCATTTTCTTCCCCAGGTGCAAAATTTGCTGTAACACTGCAGTGGCTCCAGGTCCGGGTGCCTAACACTGTGCCTGAGGTTAAAAACACACCACAGTTTCATCCTCTTATAGTTCCCAAAATCAACGTTAGCAAACAGAGTGAGAACTGAAGACTCACATGCTGGAAAAAAAAAACAAAAACCAAACAAAAACCAAAACACCTCATGGTTTCCACTTTTGAAATAGCAGCGATATTTTTCTAAAATATTATTTCTCCATGGAAAATAAACTTAACATGAGCTAGAAAAGCAGGTGAACAAGTAGACAAAAGAAAGGAAACAGCTACAGTAAGCATAAAAGAAAGCAGGTTTTATTTAGGCTCTACAATGAATGGAGAAGAGTGTCCATTTGTCTTATTAAAGTGGGAAAAGATCACTATGTAAAGTTGGCAGTTTTCCCACTATAAAGTGGGAAAAGACCACTACGGTTGTCAAGACAGTTTAAATTTATTAGTTTCTCTTGAAAGCCTTTTGGAGGGGATTCCTGGTATTACAGTGCTCTACTTCTCAAAACCTCTGTTAAGCTGAGTTTATTTAAAAAAAACCAAACAAACAAACAAACCACAACTAGTTTTTCCTATTAGCTGCCATTTTGGTTTGAGGGGATGCGTTAGGCTCTTGCTGCTTTTCAGACACATGCTGTTAATGGCTCTAAACACAGGGGACGTTACCAGTTACCAACCTGCCTGCTACCCTTACTCACTTCTCTCTCGTTTGAAAACCTAGGATGGGCTTTAGAGCAACTCACAGTCACAGGTAGAGCAAAGCTAATCTCTAGATTTATAAACAAATTAAGAAAAAAAAACCCCAACCTTTATCCCCCGTTTATCCCTCCATTAACTTGCAAACCTTAATTATAAATGACAAATTTCAGGATTTGAGCTAGAAAAATGATACGTTAAACCAAAAAGCACTACAATAATCAGTTTGATAAAAAATGAGGTACAGCTTGTTATTTTAGTGTTGATTGGCTTTCTAGGTGTCAACAGAAAAAGAAGCAAGGGGTGTTGTTCTGAGCCCTGCTCTGCTACAAGGTGATATTTCTGTTTTCTGTCAGGAAAATGCCCACTGAAGTGTGTCCTGGCGCCTCCCTTGAGCCATCTACCCAGCAGAGCTAAAGCACCAGAAATCAGTCAAATAAAGAGGCATTTCCAGGAGTGTCCCTGTTACTGTCAAACTTTAAGAAAAGGTGCGGGTACCCGAGAGCTGTCCTGCTGTTCAGAGCTGCGGGCATTGCTACATGACACCGAGAGAGTAAAGAAGGTGTCCGCAGCATCGCTGCCGGGTCAGCGCGCAGGCGTGGCAGGCCGGGACCGACTTCTGCCAAGGCTGTACATCCCTACGCCTCTTGGCTCAGCTCCTCGGAGGCACTTAAGAGCCCAGCTCCGGCGACTGCAACAGATCCATTTAAAAGCTGGCATTTCCCCTCTCCAGGAGATGTTATTCCGTGCGGGGGGTTGGCAGGCTAATGCAGCTGCTCTGGTGGATCTCCGGGAGGGAGAGCTGCTCTGCCCCCGGCTCCCCGGGGGGGTTCACCTAATGGAAGTCTGGGCTCAGGCCAAGCTCTACTTTTCTAATAATTTTACTGCAGAAACCAGAAATACAAAGTGACAGTGACAGCAGAGACGAGGCGACTGGAGCAGCTCTTCAGGAAGGGTTCACCTCCACGTTCAAAGCCAAGCCTTCGCGCCACGGTTAGCGAGGATCGCGCGAATTACTCATCCTGAGCCTGCCTACTCCAACAAAAATTGTATTTCAAATGACCCCCTCGGCGTGACCTGCTCCTTTTGACACAAACCATTAAAAAACCCTGACATCTCACAATGTGGGCAGGACAAAGTCACCACAGTCCTGCTAGCGCTGGCTTTGTGGTCCCGCTAGTCGAAACACCAGGCAACCTTGCACGCCATAAGGGGAGGAAAAGCCCCCAAATTAACGTGGCATCTCAAGACCTTTAGTAAAACTAGCTTTTGCCCAAAAATGCGTGGTTTTCAGCCATGCCACTGAAAAAAAGTGGAGGTTGACTTTAACCACAGAGCTCCTCTCCATCAAAACCAAGCACCAAAAATCTTCCCCCACAGCGGGGCATCCGCAGCCGGTTCCCTCCAGGGTGGGAGGAGACAAGGCTGGCTGGTACATGTCACCTGCCAGGCAGATGACTAAAGCTTAATTTTAAATAATGTGTTTATTAAAGTAAACTATGTCCCCAAGCAATAGTTTACTGAAACACAATGATTTCTCCTCAACACATATGGTGGAGGCTGGCGTTTGTTGAAAGACGCTGGAAGGAAATGGGGATTTGGGGAACCGCTGTTTGTATTTATGGGTACACAGAAGAGTTTCAGGTGTACAGAAGTTACACGCTGCTATAAATCCTGGCTTTGTAAGTATTTAATAAAATTAAGTCTGTTAAAATAGTAAATGGATATTCATTTTGCAAGGAGTTGTAAATACACCACTGCAAATATCGATCATGATGCAAACGTACTAGCAAGCCTCCATTTTAACATATGCATTCGAAATGTGATAAATTTTGTTTCAGATCACATATTTTGCCAGCTGGGCATTAATTTAAGCAGCTCTACTTCAGCACTTTATTAAGCGATCTGTTTATATCACGATCAAAACAAATAGTGCGAAGTGAGAAATGGAAAAATATTGTTTCAAACCATTTACCTCTAACTGATGCCAGCTGCTCTCTTCTCAGCTTCAGCTTTAATGAACACCAGCTCCTCGGGGGAGCCCAGGGATTGCATCACTCCCAAGCACACAGGTACCCCCCCTCAACAAGGATACTTATTTCTTATTTTTTAGGTCCTAAACTGCCAATGCCACACTCCCCACTCCGCAGAAAACTGATTAATTCTGATAAAAAGCAGATTAAAAGGCTGAAATTTTTTTTATATACATTTATACACAGTATAATTTTTCTGTCCTCAGAAGCTCAAGAACAGAACTCCAACTAATCGTGCAGCAAAACTGTCTTCAACGTGAACAAGGAGTTTAATATTTTACTTGACTGCAAAAATTTGGTGCAATGTAAAACCAAGTGGCGCACAGCAAGACGGGTGCTGGGTCCTCGGGCAAAGCAAAGCGAGGGCGCAGCCGAGCACGCGGATTTTTATAGACTAATGAATTAGCAGCATTTACTTCTGCGCTAACCCCAGATGAATTATTTCACTGGAAGCAGCTTGCAAAAAAACCCCACAAAACCCGTTCTTACAGCTGCCAACGTTCAGATTTCCCGTGAAACCTCAGCAGCGTGTTTTCATCTTTTGCTAGAGAACAGCCTGGAAATGGATTCAGCTGAAACTCAAGGCAGCTTGTGGTGGGGGGACCTTGGTGCTGCTACACCAGACCCAGAGCCCGTTTTGCCACCCTGATTCCCAGAGAGGACGCGCTCGTGTTGGAAATCAGACACAGCTACGCTGGGGTGAGCCTCTGCCAGCCTGGCTGGCTTGCCTCAACCTTTTTTTTTTTTTTGACATGAGCAAGGAAACTCAAGGCACCTCGAGTTTAAATATTTATACTTTGATCTGAAATGTAACAGCTTTCCTGGGATGTTTTATTGTTTTATATTCCCCCTGTATGTTTAAAGGCAGAAATCTAAATATCTGTCCCTGGGAATGGCAACTTGCTATATATTATAACCATTGATGGCTTTTGTCCCTTCCACAGCATATTCAAGTTTAATGTGTGCTGTGCTCTCTGGGCTCTGCAGTTAAATGTGATTTATAAATTTGCAGGTGATACCATAATTTAGCAACGTTCCAGGAAAAAACAACTCAGATGTTGCAGCATGATCCATTTTTTTTTTTTAAATCCAGTCCCATAGGGCTGGGCTAACCCCGAAGTCATCGTGACAGCAGGAAAAAACACATCCCAGAGAGACCCTGTTGTTGCCTTGCCCTCCATTGAGGCACTGCACAGGTCAGGCACTGAGCCAAGCCTAAAGGCAAGGCTTGGTTTTAGGCAGATGTGTCTGAAAGGTGAAGTCTGTGTGCTACTTGGAGATGCCCAAGGGGCTGCTGCTGCATGTGCCTCCTGCCAGGATACACCTCCCTCCTGCTCTTGCCCCGTGTTCAATGGTGAATTACAGAGTCAGTGCTGGATTTCTGGCCCATCATGAGATGATTCTGTGTCAGAGCCCCTCGCCAGCGAGCCCTGCCTGCCACAGCAGCTGTACCAACCCGGCCACGGCAGGATAACTGCTGCCCTTCTTTGACCAAACTATGCAACAAAATCAAAAACATTTTCCACCTCCAAGAGCAAATTTCCACTTTCCCCCTGCCAGCTACAAAAACTGCACCGGGTTTACACAGAGAAAAGCCCGATGGGGCAGCACAAGCTGGGTCCAAGCACGGGATGCAGAGATTTCCCAGGCCAGGGGCTCCCTGTCGCAGGGAACCAGAAGCGGAGGAGAAGAAAAAAAATACTCGCCCTGATCTTTACAAGCGCCCAGTCCCACCCAGTATCTCAGACACAGCACTGGGGAGTTATAAACAGCCTTTGTCTCTGAGCCAACATAATCAATGGGATGTTTTAAGGCTGCAGGAGCGCTCAGGGCTGGGCACGCGGAGCCTGCGGAGCGCCAGCAGACCGGAGGAGACGAGGTTTGGTGCCTCCGGGTGATAACGCGGATCAATGACACTCCGGTTTCCAGAGCACACCCTGGGTCCCGGCTGCCCACAGCGGCTCGGTTATGGTAAATGTGTGTCATCTGCAAGAGCTCGTGCTGAAATGGAATAAAACACAGGATGAAGGAGGGAGAGGATGAGGGTTTCTGGAATCAAGTGGGCAACAAGGTGGAGTGCAAAGACAGCATCAAGATAGTTTCTGGAACACGCAGTGTTTGTTTTACATGAATATTCTTTAATTTACTGACCTCATGTGCATCCCCTGCGTGTTATCATCTCTGTATAAGCAACATTTTCAGGTCCTTGCCTTGTTTTCCTTCGCAGGGCAGGTTAGGGGCCAGCGTTCGCTGCCTGATGATGCGCAGAGCTCCAGAAAGCAGG